GTGAAAAACCTCATGGGTCAAAAAAAAGACAGCGAAATCACTTACCATGTACACTCACAGGCAAAACAAACTTGACTTGGGGAATTTGAATTAATTTATTGACAATTAGCATAAAAATTAATTACTGAGTTGAGTGTCTGGAAACAACACCTCACAAACATTCAAAATGCCTTTCATCCCCATTTTTCAAGCTCAGCTTCACTCCCAGGCTCACTTCACTCCAGACACCTCTCCTCCACCCAAATTTGTGTGGGTCACACTCAGTCCCTCCAGTGCAGCAGTGRGTGGCACAGGGGTTGGGGTCAGAACACAGTAGTTTCTTTCTTTTCCTCTGGCCCTTCATTGGTCCTCCATGGGCTGCAGACCCTCCAGCACCTGCGTTGCCATACAGTAACTCCCACTCACCTGACCTTGTTATTCCCTTGTTCTCTCCTCTATTCCCTTGTCTTCTGCCTTCCAGAATTTCTGCCCTTTCTTTAACACACTTTCCCAGAGGTGCCACCATGTAATCTCAGTGGCTCAGCAGTGCCCTGAGGTGAGTCCGTTGGAGCTGACACCAGCAGCACCAGCACTGACACTGCACCAGCAGTGTCAGAGAAGAACAAAAGATTGTTATATTGTTCTTAGGTGTTATCTCCAAGACAGTGGTATTTAAAATACATTTARTTTCGGTCTCATTTTGAATGTAAAGGAGCTAGGCAAGTCATGATAAAATCCACAGTGACTGTTCCAGGCAGTAAAGGGGTTGCTTTACTGAATTTACAGGGATTTGCTGCTGACCAAATCACTGATGACCAAGGAGCTCTGCAAGCCAGTGCTTGCCAGTSTTTCCATACAGCCTGTTGGGAAGGGCATCACACCTTACTGATGTATGTGCCAGGCTCTGGACCAGGACCAGCTTGCATTTGGCTGAGCTGAAAGACAAGCAGTGTGAACCTGTGACATACCATCTACACTAGCTTTGCAAACATGTTTTGAATAAGGACATATCTAATGTTTGTGAGCTGATATATGTGATATTCYGGTTTATGGCTTGAGTACAAAGACTGTCTTTCCTAGTGTTAAAATATTTTGATCTGGAAAAAGTGATTTAGCAGACAAGCTGTTTAATTAGTGCATGGGCAGAGACAATCTGTTCTGAGAATTGTTGGCAGCATGGAAAAGGGCATAAAGTTAAGAGTAGGTGAAGGGAACAAAAGATATATTAAAGAAATATGTTTTCTTTGATATGTATTTTCTCTGGTCCAAAATACAGAGCCTTTTGGAGAGGTGAGGGCAGCATTTTCCATGCAGGCACATTACACTATCTCTAAAAATATGCCGTTGGTGGTCTAACCAAAAAGGTAATCAACTTGCCCAGAGTCTTGGGGATATTTCTTAGGAATTCAGAAAAGAAAGAGTTTGGAAGATGGAGAAACCATCTGAGCTCACTGTGAAGCAGCAGGTGTTCCGGTGCTATTTTTGGTTTATAGTAGAGTGTAGTGGGGGAGCTTCTATGAAATGTGCAGTGACACTACAGAATCTCAGAACAAGATTATATGAAATATACTGTTCATGGAAATAGATATGTTCCACATATTTAGCATTTAGTCTAATCTGATAAATAACTGCAGCACCTTCTGATCCCATACTTAATGTCTCCTACTCCCTTTTCATAGGAATATRTATCTTCCATGTGGTCTCAGTTTGCAAAAATTACATTAGAGAAAACTACCTGAAGAAAGCAGGAGACATAAAATAAGCCACTACATTGGCTTTGATCTATTGGGCCAGAGAGAGAAAAAAAGAAAAGAAAAAACCAAAAAAAAACAACCTTGTTTTTTTAACTCCTGAAATCATTGTGTAAGACCAAAACTGCTAAAACCTCTGTATATATAACACAAAATGAGGACAAAGTGAAGCCACAGTTATTGATAGATAAGATGGTTAAGAACTAAATTCCACTGATGAGGGTGTTTTCATGAATCTGTCTGTCCTTACCCCTCTTGACATCCAGGAGATTGACAGTACGTTGTTTGAATTAATGTGAGCAAGATGATATCAGTGATGTTGCCAGTTTAGCACTTAGCCACCTCAAGGACAAAATCATCACCATTTCCATTGGAAAATGGAAATGACCTCGATAGGTGTTTCTATCACAGAAAACTCTCAGTTGCTAGATTCTTAGATTCCTTTTTCACGTTTTCCCGATTAGTTCTAGGTGGATTTAAATTGCTCTCATTAGCAGGCACTAATTTATTTGTATTTGAAGAATGTCCTACAAATTATCTGTGTCATCAATGTGGAGAGAACTTGTGGGCAAACAAACTTAAAAAGAAAAAGAGTGGAAATAATCTCTGTGGAGAATGGGTTCAGAGGATGTCTTAGCCTGGCAGAAGTTGCTCAGCTTTTTGTCAATGTTTGGCTCCAGACTGAAAATACTGCTTAAAAGAGAAATTTGTTTGCACTTATTCAGACTTCTCAACCCTTAGTGTTATATAGAAATAGAGTGTTCCTTCCTTCCTTCCTTCYTTGACTTCTTGTAACACTGCAGTGGATTACATTTTTGTAGTGTTTCATTATTACAATGTAYATATGCCATTTGTAAGTACATTTATGCCTTAACCTTTTTGTGTCTATCGCAGTTAGACTATACTGTGAATTTCCTCTGAAATGTCTARCTGTAGAAAGACGCTTCCCTTTTCACTTCAATCTTGCATTTCATACGTTATTGGTCATTAAGTAATTATTTTTSTGAGTCCTGCTTTTGTGCTTTTTTCAGCAGCTCTAAAAACGCTGTGCCTGATTCACCATTGCTTTCTGCCTTCATTTGTACCCTCAGCTGCTATGCTTTTGTGTGAGTGACAAAGGTGTACAATAACCATGAATCAGGTCTTTTACAGRTACTCTCATTAACACTGGTACCATTTTTGCTTAAAAAAACCAACAACCTTCGGCTGATTTATTGCTCATGAACAAGGGGGTGTCCTGWACATTTGATACAGATTTGCAGGCCATTCTTTCTGTTCCTGTTTCTCTCGTGAGACAAGACAATCCTGACACATACTGAAATGCATTTAATGTTGCTATGTGGGGACTGGAGGAAGGATTGTTATGCATAACTTTGATGCTTGGCAGCTCCAAATTACTTTTCATCCAAGGATTCCCAAGAGACACTTGTCTCCTAAGTTCCATTGTAGCAAAGTTTCTGACATTTCATTTTTTCATATCAGGAAACTGAAGCATTTAGTACAAGTAAACAAGTTGCCTTGGTCAAACTAGAAAATAAACATCAATTTGGTTAAATACTCAATGACAAAAGGCAAGGGTGTCAATCTAGGACAGTGTGTAAAATCCATGTGATCAGTTCTTTTCCCTTCATCCTTCATACAAGAGTTTGAAATCCTGCCATGAATGTGTGTTCATAAGTCTTAAAGWAGGCAGATCATCCTTTAGCATTTAAGCAAAATACTCAAAATGGCTCTTTGGAAAAAGAGGAAATAAGAAATTAATTTGGGTTTTATATTTTTGTGTTGTTTTTACCCTTGGTACTTGGAAGTTTTTTCCATGTCTTATATTTGGTTATTCTTTTTATGGCATTATATTACTAAACTTAAATAACTATTTCTATTCATGTAGACACAGAAAACAGTGCATGCACACACACACACACACACACACACACACACACACACACACAAATAAGTCTAGGGATCATCTTAAACAGTTTCAGAACTAAAAGTATCTATGAAACATGACATATTTATGCTGCTACCTGGTTGTGAATGCATCCCAGATTAGACAAGTACTTAATGAGGRTCTGACACTGTACCTGTAAAAGAAATGCTCATGTTTTAGGGGAAACACAGGATTGCTCACAACCTAGTTAGATATTAACCAGTTCAGGCAATATCCCTTCTGTATATTACAAAGATAACTTCTGAGATCTTATATCCTGTCTAGGCAATGCCTTAATCTGAAATGAGATCTCATTTCTGGGTTAAGGSAGAAGCTTGATTTGGAAAACTAATTTGGAAATGTGGCTTACAATGACTTCCACATTGCTTTTCCAGGATAAATAGAAAATTTACACTGCCACTGTGATTAATCCACAGTAAGATTTCTAGTAATTTACAGGTTTCTTATGAAACTTTATTGGATGGTGAGTTTATTTACAGCAGAGAATATCTGAAATAAATCTGCTRGGGTCAATTGTGTTAATCCAGGTTGCATCAATATTGATAGAAACAAAATCAAAATATATATTAAATACATTGAGAGTTTATATGATATAGGAGTGTAAAATATTAAAATTACACTGCCTATATTTGTATTCAGTTCATAGCAGCCAGTAATACATACTCTTTATTCAAGATCTTTCCGGTGTGGATTTACATAGGTAATTTTATCTCAGGCTGTTTGTTATTTGACATAATACCTTYATTTCTGGTGTAAACCAATAATATAGTTTTCTATTTTTGAAAAGGGGATTTAATCTTCATATTTGTGAATGAAAGCTATAAATCCTGAGACTAAAAAACCCAAAGCATGAATTATTTCTACATAAAATCTTTTCAGTGTGGGGAAAAGGGGTTTACTTTCATTTTAATCTTGGTCCTGTTTATTGAATGCTTGGTGCCAATGAGGCAATTTGGGTGTACACATACATGTATGGCGGTGTGAATGTGCACTTTTTCTTACACATTAAAYCTGAACTGGAGTGTATTGGTGCCTTTCTGAAGCTCAGAAATGTTTTTCCAGGCAGTGTTTTGGTAGAATAGTCACTGCCTCGTGCATGGAAAATGGGAATTATGATAATCTAGGGCCAGACATAGAAGTTTATTGTTACCTGGGCAGGACTCTCACTAACAGGAAGGGAAGGCTGTATTCCACCTAACAAGCTCACAAMAGGCAGAGACATACCCGGTGACACCAACATAATCAGTGTGCGAGTCACAAAGTATACAGCTCCAGAAATCCACTAAAACTTTTTTTTTTTCCCTGTTATTTCCTTTTTCTAGAAAAAACAAGTGAGTCAAACAAAGATCCGGGTGATCTCCACCATYGTTTTCATCCTGGCAGGCTGCATTGTCTTTGTGACCATTCCTGCATTTGTCTTCAAGTGCATCGAGGGTTGGACAACCTTGGAGTCCATCTACTTTGTAGTTATTACTCTGACCACGATTGGCTTTGGTGACTTTGTAGCAGGTGAGCAGCTTCGAGCCAAGGTGCTGTGCACATGGGCCTTGGCTCTTAGAATTTCTCTTCTGGGATATAAAGGAGGCTCTTCACAATRTGTTTTATTCCAGTGAAATGATGCCAGGAGTTTCTGTTGGGATTACTGTGCAGTAGGACACCAGGTTTGTTTAAGATCCAGGTGCCTTGCCATTTGTAACTTGCAAGCCTTCAGCAATGTAGATAATGTGAGCCTGGAAAATCCTGATTACCATTTATTGTGCAATGAATTATGCAAAAGTCAAATTACTTTCCCATTGAATTAAAGATTTGTGTTAGTCCATTAGAGCTCAATCTGAGGCTGACTGCAGAAGCAAGTAACCTAAATGATGAATGGAGGAAGCTTTAACAAAGTGGGGCTGAGCTGTAGGGCTGTAGAATTCTCTGGTCAGAAGCAATAGTAGGCTGCTGCTACAGGAGCTGCAGCATTTAAAAACCTGCATTTTGTTTCCTAATCCTGGCAGAAGTTTTGACATTGCAGTTGCCCTGTTAAGGAAAACTTTTGTAGGAGAGGACAATTGGGGTATGTGTCTCAGTGCTTGGAGGAGACTCTCCAAGATTAATACACTACTAGCAGGAACTATAAATATCGACCCATATACAATTTCCAAAGTGGGAGTTGAGATAGTTGGCTGAAAAGATGAGTGATACTTCTTTTCCACACAGCTGCTTTGCTAACAGAAAGTTGGTTAAAATAAGTGACTTTTTCCCCTTATCTATGCATGACCTGTACTCCTCATTCCTGTTACTGGTCCTAATTAAAGGCATTAAATTGCCTATGTCAAAACCAGTCATGTTATAYGTCTTAGTCCTTATAAACAGAAATGAGTTAAAAATATCAAATAAAATTACAGGGATATATAAAATTTTATTTGTTGAAGCACTGCAGACAAGTCCTTTGGTTGAGAAGACTCTCATCCTCCTTTTTTGTGACATAGTGGCATAGAAGTCATGAATTATTGAGAAAAATAAAGTCACTGAACAAAGAAAGACTCCGTTATGAAGAAAAAAAAAAGATTTTGTGAGCATTCAGTTACTTAGAAGTGATTGTGTGAGCTTTGTCCATTTTAACCACTTAGATGTGTACAGGAATTCACTGATATTCTTTGTGGGATCACAGTGTGAAATAAAAATAATTTACAATGTTTTTCTTAATAATACCATTCTTCAGTATTGTTTAATACTGTAACAGTACAAAAGCTCTGAATATTAAATTGTTTTTTTGCACATGATTAGGAGAATATAATCCACAGCTGGGTGACTACTAACAAGCAAGATTTTTCAAAAATCAAATGGAAGATCCTGAATGAGAAAACTTCAGAGGCATTTTCATGATAAGAGTTTAAGGCAGGTGATCACCAGGAGATTTTGCTGGTTTTGAGAGACCTTTTCTGCTGCTTTTATTTTCTGCCACTTTAATCTCACAGTATCTCTGTTCCTTCAACATCAAATCAAAAATACTGTATCCTAATGGTTAAAACAGCATTAATGGAGCTATACTCGCTTATTCCACCTAGAACAAATCCTGGCTCTTGGGAAACTGGAAGGTTTTGTACTACTATTGGAAATAAAACAGTGGATGGAGCCTGAAAAAACGAAGTATCTGATAGGCTAAAAAAAGTGGTCTCATACTTTCTCAGTCACCTGATTACTCTGCAAGATAGATCTAGACAATCTGTTTCCTAGCGAGCTTCCTCAGGGACACGTATGATCAGAAGAGGCTTCTAGTATCATAGCAACAACAGTCCCTACCTCCCATTGTCTCAGTCTCTTAAAGACTGGGGGAAAAAGAGTGTGATTCATGCAGTCTATGGGGAGAGATTAACATGAAAACCAATATTTGGGTCCCTGCCCATTCTCAAATGTCTGACCTTCCATGGGGGTGTTCAAACACTGTAACTACACTCATATTAAGTCTGATAAAATTAAAGATGCATAGAAATATCTCAGATTGCAAAAAGCAAAGGGGAAAATGCTGAACTTTGTTGTCTGGTAATTTTAACAGGAGAAAACTCTAAAAACTCTCTGCAGTCATACAGAGGTGTAGATGTCTAGCTCTTGTCTAATGCATCCCTCTTAATGATACCCAAGCAGACTGTATAGCCTTATTTTCAGGGCTAATGCATGGTTGGCTTCCTGTGAGATACCCTGATTTGGAAGACCAAGTTACATTTCTTTCTTCTGYACAAAAGTCTCCCAATCCTGTAGCTAAAACCAAAAAAGTCTGGAAACTCTATAACCTAGGGGTTATAGATCTGTAAATTTTCTCAACTATGAGGCTWCAGGCAGTTCAGAATAAGGAACATTATCTGTATTAAACTTTTTCCTTGGATATGTGTTTGTGATGTTGCAATTACTATCAAAGTAGAATTTCAGATGCTTCAGAGTACAACTAATACAACRGAAAGTGTTTATTGGGTGCTCTGGCAGGATACATAACAGTAAAAGAATAGGTAATTTTGAAGACTTTTAAATTAAAACCAGATTGTATTCCTCCCATCTGACAGGCTTCTTGTCTTATTATCAGAACTATCGTGGTGTGGACAAGATTTAAGAAGTACTTTTAGGCATTTCTCGGAAGTGCAGATATTGTATAATAATTTTGGCACCTCATAATTTGTAAGCATAAGTATATGCTTATTTCAGGAGGAAATTATGACCTCAACTACATGGAATGGTATAAACCCTTAGTATGGTTCTGGATCCTTTTTGGCCTTGCCTACTTTGCTGCTGTCCTAAGTATGATTGGAGACTGGTTAAGGGTCCTGTCCAAGAAGACGCAAGAAGAGGTATGATTAGTAACTTATCAATGTTTTGTCATTTTACAAGAGAGCTTTAAGTGCCTGGCTCCTGCTTCTCTATAAGATGCTTCTCTGCATGACCAATGCTCAGTATTCCCTGTGGTTAACTTCACCTGTCTGCCTGTGGTACACAGTTAGCTCTGATGTTTAGCTCCTTCACAAAGGAAGGGGTCAAAACAACTGAAGCAACCAGGACTGTTACACCCCTAYCAGTACACAAAAATACACAGAACACATCAGTAGGATTGCAATTATGGAATGAGAGGCCAGCCTTTACTCTGAAACCAGCTATGAMATTGTGCTAAAACTTTCCCTGTTGTCTCCTGAAAGATTTGGAGATTKCCCTGTCTTTTCCTATGCCAGGGAATGTAGTTCTGAATAAAAGTTTAGGTTTAGGTCCCTTACTGTGTACTCTGTTTTTAAAAATTGAAGAAACTGAGAAGTCAGCATCAAGGAGAGCATGACAAAATTCAGTCAGAACATACCCTCCATGATTCAAAGAGGATACTGCTAGTGCTTCACTCAAATAAGTGTGGAAAATAGAAGGGCAATTGGCATGACTCTAGAACTGAAGCCTGTGGTGGAGGATGTTAGCACTGTGATTTCAAATTTTATGGCCATCTCCTCCTGCATTACTAGCAAAGMTTCCCTGGCAGAGTTAACCAAAGAGCAGGTAAAGACAAAGTCTGGCAGAGGGCTAGTGCTGTTTCTAATTTTTGAAGGCATCTGCACCACCTAAGGTGCATCCTCTATGCTGCTCCGTTAATAAAGGGGACTGTTGGAGAGTTTGGCTGTTGCACTGCTCATCATCAGGCACCTAAGGCTGGGAATCTGGTCTCCTGCATGGATGTGAGATGCTTTCTGCCACAGTGCTAAATGGACATCTGCACATCTGGCCTGTAGAACAGAGATGACTCCTTGTGGGTTATCGGGTGCAAAAACTTGAGTTCTGGCTGCAGCGGCACAAGCAAACAACTGACTGGTGAGTTCCTGCAGACACTGTCCTCCTGAATCTGTTCTCCTTTAGCTGTACTTTGAAAAAGGCCTGTTTTAACTGAAATATTGCTTGGTCATTTATCTTGGTTTTTCTCATTTTGGAGGGAATGCTTATTCAATACAGCCATCATTTGGTGCTTTATTCTTAGCCMTTATTCCAGTCTTCAGTGCAAAGAAGTAAAATAGGGAAAGACAGTAGGACTTTTAATGACATGCTCATGGTGCCCACACAGAATGGAAAACTCCTCCAGATGGCTTGAGAGTGTGGTATTTGGACAGCTGTGATGGAAACCTCTATTAAAGGCAGCTACATTTGTCCTTGAGAATGAACCCTAGACTGGAGCAGTCAGAGGACCACTTGAAATTATCTAATGGGTATTTCCAACATTAACTGCACTGTGAGTGTGGCCCTGAAGAGAACCTTCAGTGGAACTAAACAGCTGCATCCATGAGCCATACAGGAAAACGCGTTACTGTACTGCTGCAGTGGCTGTTGTGCTGTTCTGAAGCATATTGGTTTAACTATATGTGATTAATTTTGCTTACTCATGACCATCTACTGMTCACATTATGAGTCAGGAATTTTGTTTTTAACCAAGGATGGATTAGCATGAACATGTCCCATCATGTAACACAGCTAYAAAATGTGTGGGGTGGCAAAATGACACAAGCAGATGAGTTCTACGTCACATTAACCATCAGTTGGTATGTCCAGAGTTTGTCCAGTGTAACCACTTTGCTACTGAAGTTTGAGTCCAAATGGATGCAGTGGAGATGGGACCACTTTCCAATTTCATGCCAGAGAAAAAAGTGCTTGTGCTGCTGTTCTACAGAAAAGGTTTTGCTTTTTATTTTTTTTTTTAAACTAATTTGTCTTTCTTCACGTTGTAAAGGTTGGTGAAATAAAAGCTCACGCAGCAGAGTGGAAAGCAAATGTGACAGCTGAGTTCAGAGAGACACGGAGGCGGCTCAGTGTGGAGATCCATGACAAACTTCAACGGGCAGCCACCATCCGGAGCATGGAGCGCAGGCGCCTGGGCCTGGAACAGCGAGCCCACTCCTTAGACATGCTCTCTCCAGAGAGGCGTTCTGTCTTTGCTACCTTGGAAACAGGACGCTTCAAGGCCTCCTCTCAGGAGAGCATCAACAACAGGCCTAACAACCTGCGCCTTAAAGCGTCAGAGAATCTCAACAAGCACGGGCAGGGGGCATCCGAGGACAACATCATTAACAAGTTTGGATCGTCCGCCAAGATGACCAAAAGGAAAAATAAAGACCTCAAAAAGACCATGCCTGAAGATATGCATAAAATTTATGAGACCTTCAGAAACTATTCCTTGGCTGAAGAAAAAAAGGAAGGGGAGACAAAGAAGATGTGTAATTCCAAGAACTCTTCTAGCTCTGCAGTTCTGACCAACTGTATTCAGCAGCACTCAGACCTGGAAAATGGAATGATTCCCAATGAAGCCAAAGAAAAGGAGCATAAAAACAAAGTGTTACTTGAAGACAAAAGTCAAATGTAAAAGATGCTTGACTTGAATTAATCATGTTGGTGTTTTTATATATGTATGTATTGAGACACGTGCCTTATACAGACTCCTTATTCARTCTGAATTGCATAGCATCGAAGAATATTTCACTGTGCCATAAAGACTTAAGCTTGCTCTGCCAAAACAAATCAGGAATACAGAACTGCAGAACGGCAACAGAAAGCTACGCACATGGAAATTTCAGCCTGTATAAAATTACCAGGGCAAGACACAAAGGAAGGGATTGAGCCATGGCAGCACCAGAGTGCTCCTACCATGGTGTGATACTAGACAAAGGACAGCTATGCAAGAAGAGCCTATGAAAAGGATGAAAAAGAGTGTATCTTTCTAATGGAGTATGCATTCATAAAGCCTTCCCCTGGTGATGAAAAAGAGGAGAAAATATTGGAATGAACTAGAAACTTTCAGTAAGGCTTAGTTTATGTTTTGGCACGTGATCTAAGCTAAGTTTTTTTTCTTAACCTATTTTTTGCATTACCTTTCTAACTTCCAAAAGAATGTCCATGGACACAGCCAGCAGCTGGGTGCTGGTTCAAAAAATCAACACAGACATAAGTAAGGGTTGGATTGCTCTTTTCATTAAAAAAAAAAGAAAAAAAAGAAGGAAAACTGTGGGTATTTATCTTAAGCAGTGAAAAAAAAAAAGAAAAAAGAAAAGAAACTATTCTTTTTTTCATGTAGGAAAATCAATGTAAAGTCGCAGCAAGAAAGTGCATATGAAGAAAATACATTTCATGCTATGTTGTTTAAAAGAAGGCAAACATCAATTTAACGATATTTGTCTAGATGTATAAAACAGTGGGCCAACTGTTTTTTAAATGAATTTCTCATTCACACTTTCTACCACTGATAAAACCCCTTCTATTTTAATGCTGTAAGACTATAAGGACAGAAGGGAAGCTATAGCTTTTGCATGTCAGCAAACTGCTGTTCTCTAGCTGAATCTGAATTTTTAAAAATAGACACAAGATCATATACATGATTCAAATGAGGGCCAGGGCTACCATAGAATCTCAGGGCTCTCTGCYTGAGATTTGGTTTAGACATAAGCTGCTGTCATAATCTCAGAAAAAAAAAAATTAGGAAAAAACCTAAGGAAAATATGGTGGTAATCTTTTAAGTGCTTATAGCGTTAAGTGCCATTAATGCTGTCATATTTTGTAACTTTTAAACACGTATTTTGAATAATTTGGTATGTTTCCTTTCAGGTACTATCTTTGTTTGACATTTGTTACCCCTTTTATTGATATAAACTAAACATGAACTCTCTGCATTTCTAGACTAAAGTGAAATGTAACTAAACTGTGGGGCATTTAAAAAAATATTTTGTGCTGTCTGGGCATATGGATATAAAARTAGAATTGTGTCCAGACTTCACAGTAAATATTCAAAGAAAAGACTGCAAAATAATTAATGGGAATTGCTAAACATACGAAATATTTTATAGCATCAGCCTGTGGGCCATTGCAGATAGAAGATTTTGCATGCTGGAAATAAGATATACGATGGTACCAGCAGTGCTTTCCCTGCGCTTTCACGAAATCCTAAATATTCCTGCAATTCAAACTGTAGGCTTATAGGTAAGGTAAGCATGGATGTTGATTGCAGCAGAGATTTTTGCAAGCTAGTCWGACATACAGACATTCACAGGTCATGCAGACAGAGTTTTGGAATTGCATGCTGATGTCTACATACACTAAAATGCACGTGTCATTCTATGATAGTTTCTGAGATTTTATGCACAATGAGYCAACTCAAAATCAAACTGGCCACCAGAACACACGACTGACACGACTATGAATGGAAGCATGGCAATGCGAAAGCAAATTTTGAGTATACATATTTGAATATCCAGTGACTCTGCTGGATTTGCAGGAGTGAGCCAAATTCCACTAGTGCAGAGAAGGAAAGAAGTTTTTAGTTTGTTGTGTCTGCTGGTTCATGTCTCTTGAAATGTCTTGTTATCTTTCTTATTTCATTATCTGTCTCAAAACCAAGGACGAAAAAGTTTGAAAATTTTCAGTTCATTTGGGATTGCTCTAACTCAATAAGATCCAACAAAAACTGAATTCTGCTTACTTCACCAGCGAATGTCTWAAGGTGCAGGGCTGCACTTTGGCTTTACCTTACCAGAGGCAGGGCAGTAAGCCCAGTCCCCAGGAAGGTTGCACTTGACTCAAGAACTGCCGTGGCACCTGAAGACTTTTGTGCCACACAGCCCTGTGCTTGGCTTCACAAACATGCAGATGGCAGCTTGTGACCATTCTCAGATCCCATCCGCCTCAAGCCACAGGAAGACAACAGCAAGGTGCAGGTCTCCTCCTCAAGCATTGGAGTTCTTTAGGCTGTTTGTTACTGTTGATTTTGGGCAGGACGTGAATGCTACTTGAGCAAATCTTCTGAAGTCTYGTCCTTGAGCATCACTAATTCTGTAGTGCCAGGATGGATGAAGCATATCTGGATGTACTAAGGCTGTTCAGATCTGTGTTTTACTGGTAGGAGGTTAGAAGAGAAAGCTACAATTTAGATTTGCATTTGAATTCCAGAAAAGGTTCAGCAGTGCTCAGACATACGATTTGGGTCTGATAATTTAAGTAATGCCTTGTTACATAATTCTGCACTTTGCACCTATGAAGGAAGGATCTGGCACCCAAAATGCATCTCATCTGACTCTGAAAGCCTGCAATACACTCAGTTTGTGCAAATAATTCTCCTTGGTTACCAAATGCCAAGATCAGCATCAAGCATGAAGTGTTTTCTGTTCCCCAAATGAGTTYTCACAAGAAATGCTTGCCTGCAATAGGAAAGTTCTGCATAGTCACACAGACATCTGTGAGGATGTGGAAGATGCATTTTCTGTATGTGAAATATAAGGCTTACTCATAGCCAGGGCATTTCTGCTGATCAGGTGAAAGATAAAGTCTGTCTTGTAGGACTTACCTCTGCGAGCAGGGAATTGGACAGTAGGCAAATCATGGAAAACAGATCAACGTGGACGAGTGACTGAGAAGGCAAAATTCGTTGGGCAAATTGAGAACTGTTTGCTCTGATGCAAGAGAAGGACAATGACATCTTGGCATAGTTTTAACTTTCTGAGTTCTCAGTCTGTTCCCTGTCCAGATTCTAGGTGGTGGAGTGTGTATGTCTCATTGTAGTTTCTGAGTGGCCATATCATGCAAGAGCCCCTGGCTGACATTTTATCAGTTGTTTCTTCAGCATCCCCTGGTTTGGGATGCAATAGTTCAGGGACAAAAGGTGATAATCAATAAAACTCTCAGTGATGTACTGAGCAGAGCATTTGGTGACCTTTCATATGAAAACAAAATTCTCTTTCRTTCCTCTCCATTTCAGTGTCTGTGAAACTTGCTGAGAAAGATGCCAGGCTGCTACAGGAGTAAATATTTTCTTCTAGATTATTGCCTGTTAAATACCTCAATATAYGTAATTTTTATTGTAATATAGGAAGTGCAAATGGTGTATTTCATAGGGGGCCAGAGAGAAACACCTTGACACTTAAAATGACATTTTAATGAGCTAAATTGCTTTTCCCTTTTTAAAGGGCATCCCTTGGTTTTAATTGTCTGCAACAGCTTGAGAGAGAATCTTAGCTCAAACGTCAAGTATTTTTATGGCTAAAATTATCATCCTCTGGCATTTAGTAATACCTATAAAAAACTTGYCATGTTATTTCTAGTGAGGCTGTTCCACCATTATAGAAAGTTTTAGCAAAAGTAGTCTGAACCATATCCAAAACTTCCTTCTCTAAATTATGCCCTTTCCCAGCAGTCTGGAAATAAGAAGTCTAACAAAAGGGTTGGTTACTGACTTTAAATTTCAGATCCTGCCCTGAGCATAACATGACTTGACATGGGAATTGGGACCTGAACAAAAAAAGGAAACACGGATTTTTTGTAGCTGCAGCCCTCACACATGGGGGATGACTCAGCTGCTGTATTTCCTACAGCTTTCATCTCTGCAGTCCTGCTTTCCACTCTCTTGTGCAGAAAATTATGCTATGCCACTTTGGKGTTCCTCCTGAACCGTCAACCATCATAACCATCTCTGAGCTTGTGCAGATATTGGTTTTCAAAAGATTTGTAACTTCATTCATGTGGCACTCAGCAAAATTCATTACCACTTAATAGGGTACATTTTTTCTAATAAACCATAGAAATAATAGTAAATAAAATATAATTAAACCCCTCCAGTGATTTATATTAATGAAACTTGATTTTGATTGTTGCTATGAAATTACAAATCACCCAAGCTTCTGCTGCCTGGCTTTTCCATGTCTCTAGCACCAGTCTGCTTCCTCTAAAGCCATTAATAGTCTATGCCGGAGATTTTCTGCAAAAATCTCTATCACATAATAAATGAAATCAAGTCTGAGTTCAGGTTGTTAAAAACTGTGCCCTTAAAAATCCTGCTTTTTTTCTGAAGTATTTGTATTTATGATGTACRTGGGCAGTTTCTTTGCCAGCTTTGGTTTTCTCAGGGGTTTATTTGTATTGTCAGGTTGCATGATGTCTGCTACTCTCATTTTTCCCTCTGTCCATGAGAAATAAATTTCAGGCAAAGAACAAGCATCATGCTAAATTGTGTAGTAACCTAGAGCAAGAAGTCTCCTACTAAACAGACATGAATTTGAAAGGTGTCTGGGGATTGCTTCAGCCCTCCCTGTACATTTACTTGTTCTGAGCTATGGTTTGCCTAATCTAAGGCCAAAAGCTGCCCCCATAAGTCTGTGCAGTAAAGTGAAGCTAGCTTTTTATTTTTAAGCTTTTTATAGCAAAGRCCTGCTGTTTTAGCTCATCTCTACTGCACAATTTACACTTCCTAGAATGGCATTATATCAATACTAAATACAAATAAGCTCAGCTTCAGAAACAGTTCTCTAGCCATTTAAATATCAATGAAAACACAAGGCAAATCAACGCAAATCTATGGAACTCAAATAACAGCCTCTAGATTAATGTATGAAACTGATTGGCTGAAATGTGTCAGCAAAAAAATGTAGATCTGAAAGTTCCTTTGGGCTGCTGAAATTTTCCCAAGGTCCCTATCTCCTTTACTATCAGTAACAATTACTCTCCTCAATACCAC